TAGTTACCTGTTTCAACACTTAGTAACCGAAGAATATATCAAAAGAGGCATAAATCTTAAAGGAACTTTCCCAGCAGGTGGGTGGCCTTTGTTCAACCGTTCTCAGCCTTTGTGCTAAGATCAAGGTGGTGAGACGGAGTTTCATTGTTATTTTCCAGGCTGGAGTGCAATGGTGAAATCTCGGCTCACTGCAACCTCCACCTCCCAGGTTCCAGCGATTCTCCTGCCTCAGCCTCGGGAATAGCTGGGATTACATGCATGCGCCACCACACCGGCTAATTTTTTCAGTTTTTAGTAGAGATGGGGTTTTACCATGTTGACCAGGCTGGTCTCGAACTTCTGGCCTCAAGTGATCTGCCCACCTCGGCCTCCCAAAGTGCTGGGATTACAGGTGTGAGCCCCTGCGCCTGGCAATGACTAATTTTTTGTATTTTTAGTAGAGATGTTGTTTCACCATGTTGGCCAGGCTGTTGTGGAACTCCTGACCTCATGTGATCCACCTGCCTCTGCCTCCCAAAGTGCTGGGATTACAGGTGTGAGCCACCACACCCAGCCAACTAACTGGTAAGAAATTATTGCCGGGCCTGGTGGCTCACACCTGTAATCCCAGTACTTTGGGAGGCCCAGGAGGGCAGATCACCTGAAGTCAAGAGTTGGAGACCAGCCTGGCCAATATGGTGAAACCTCGTCTGTACTAAAAACACAAAAATTAGCTAGGCATGGTGGTGCAAGCATGTAATCCCAGGAGGCTGAGGTAGGAGAATCATTTGACCCCAGGAGGTGGAGGTTGCAGTGAGCCGAGATCGTGCCACTGCACTCCAGCCTGGCAACAGTGTGAGACTCTGTCTCAAACAAAAAAAAAAAAAAAAAAAGAAATTCTTACCCTTTTGCTGGCATTCCAGCATTCCAGGCTTCTGGTTTCCCTTTTCCTGAGAGGCTTTAATGACCCAGCTGGCTGCACCACAGCCCTGGGGGCCAATCCGCAACACAAAGCTAAATTATCTTTTTCCATTCTGGCCAGAGCAAAATACGTGTGACAAAACATACACATTAGCCACTCTGCTTTGACTGGAATATCCAACAGGCAAGGCTCAAACTTACCCTGGTTGGGCACCATCATCTTTAACCTCTGACCAGGAGTTTCAATTTGGTCTCTGGGCAAGATGGTCACCCTGAATAACAGAAAATATAAGAAAGGGAAAGGAGACAGAGAAAAACATTGCCTGCCGGGCACAGTGGCTCACACCTGTAATTCCAGCACTTTGGAAGGCTGAGGCGGGCAAATCACAAGGTCAGGAGATTGAGACCATCCTGACTAACACAGTGAAACTCCGCCTCTACTAAAAATACAAAAAATTAACCGGGCGTGGTGGTGGGCACCTGTGGTCCCAGCTACTGGGGAGGCTGAGGCAGGAGAATGGCATGAACCCAGGAGGAGGAGCTTGCAGTGAGTCCAGATCGCACCACTGCACTCTGGGTGACAGATCGAGACTCTAAAAAAACAAAAACAAAAACAAAAAAAAAATTGCCTGTGGCAGGGTGGGGAAGGCCAGGAGCTTAGAGAGACCAGAGAAGACCCCCACATTGCAGTGACACTGAAAAGTTCAAGTGGCCACTTGTCAGTAGCAAAGGGATCTTTTCCAGCAGTCCCATCAGCTCTCAAGTTTTCCCTTTTGGGGAGGAAAAAGCTCCCCATGTCCCATGATCCTGTACATTCCTAGTCCTGTCACCCATAGCCATCAGCAAGGCAGATTATTCCAGAGAACACCAGTTAACATCCCATTGTGCCAAACCCATTCCTAGCCAAGAGGGACTTTACTGAGAGGGGCCTCTAACCCCCTAACTCTTAGGAAGTAATCTAACCTTCTAACCTTCCTAAGTTGGGCATTGAACCAAAGTTTGGTCAAGTGTCCTTGCCTTTTATTGAGAGGAGCCTTTAACCAGGAGAGTCTCTAACTCCCCTAAGTTGGGCCTCTAAACCAATCCCATTCTTTATCTGGGTATATGCACCCCACCCACTCAAAGTCAGCCAGTTGGTGCACGCGGATGATTTTCCTCTGGGTTGGGGGCTTCAGTGTCAATGAAAAGAGTCAAATTCTGTAGACTATTTGAAGAGATTTATTCTGAGCCAAATATGAGTGACCATGGCCTGTGACATACCCCTCAAGAGGTCCTGAGAACATGTGCCCAAGGTGGTCGGGGCGCAGCTTGGTTTTATACATTTTAAGGAGGCATGAAACAGCAATCAAATACATTAAAGAAATGCATTGGTTTGGGCTGGGTGCAGTGGCTCACACCTGTAATCCCAACACTTTGGGAGGCTGAGGTGGGCAGATCACAAGGTCAGGAGTTTGAGACTGGCCTGGCCAACATGGTGAAATCCTGTTTATACTAAAAATAGAAAAATTAGCCTGGCATGGTGGTGCGCACCTGTAGTCCCAGGTACTCAGGATGCTGAGGGCAGGGGAATTGCTTGAACCTGGGAGGTGGAGTTTGCAGTGAGCTGAGATCATGCCATTGCACTCCAGTCTGGGTGACAGAGTGAAACTCCTGCTCAAAAAAAAGAAAAGCAAAGGAATAAAAGAATGGCTATTCTGTAGACAGAACAGCCCAGAGGGCTGCTGATTGCCTTTTGTTTTGTTTTGTTTTGAGACGTAGTTTTGTTCTGTGACACCAAGCCCGGATAATTTTTTTTTTGTATTTTTAGTAGAGATTGGGTTTTACCCTGTTAGCCAGGATGGTCTCTATCGCCTGACCTCATGATCCTCCCGCCTCGGCCTCCCAACATGCTGAGATTACAGGGGTGAGCCACCACGCCTGGCCTGGTTGCCCATTTTTATGGTTATTTCTTGATTATATACTAAACAAAGGGTGGATTATTCATGCCTCCTTTTTTTAGACCATATAGGGTAACTTCCTGATATTGCCATGGCATTTGTAAACTGTCATGGCGCTGGTGGGAGTGTTGCAGTGAGGACGACCAGAGGTCACTCTCATCGCCATCTTGGTTTTGGTGGGTTTTAGCCGGCTTCTTTACTTCAACCTGTTTTATCAGCAACATCTTTATGGCCTGTATTGTATCAGGACGAGAGGCAGACAAAACTCCTCAGACACCGAGTTACAGAAGGAAGGGGTTTATTCGGCTGGGGGAATTGGCGAGACTTCAGTCTCAAGAGCCGAGCTCCCCCAGTGAGCAACTCCTGTCTCTTTTAAGGGCTCACAACTCGAAGGGGTTGCATGTGAGAGGGTCGTGATTGATTGAGCAAGCAGGGGGTACGTGACTGGGGGCTGCATGCACCGGTAATTAGATCGGAACAAAACAAGATGGGGATTTTCACAGTGCATTCCTATACGATGTCTGCAATCTATAGATAACAACCAGTTAGGTCAGGGGTCGATCTTTAATTACCAGGCCCAGGGTGTGGCGCTGGGCTGTCTGCCTGTGGATTTCATTTCTGCCTTTTAGTTTTTACTACTTCTTTCTTTGGAGGCAGAAATTGGGCATAAGACAATATGAGGGGTGGTCTCCTCCGTTAGTATCTTGTGCTGACATCCTGTGTCATCCTGTGACTTAGAATGCCTACAGCATCTGGGAATGCAACCCAGTAGGTCTCAGCCTCATTTTATCCAACCCCTATTCAAGATGGAGTTGCTCTGTTAAACACTTCTGACAGCTGTGGTTTCTTCACACAAAGAGGTTGCAGCTGGGGTTAGGTTCCTGTTCTGCCAGCCTGGCTCCTTCCCAATTCCTGTTAACTTACTGACTTATTAGGGCCCCACAGATTAGAAATTATCATGTAGGAGTCATGCAGCTAGAGGCCACAAGACTAAACGTCCCCAGTTGTTCCTAGGGATAATATCACTATTGTAAAAGCTAAGATTGGTGCTGGAAATATTTTTCAGACCCTGAACTTGATGGATCTGATGGCACCACTCAGATGGATAAACTGGATCATCTCGTCTTGTGCCTCCCCCTCCCCCAAAACCCACTCACCACAAGATAACAACTTTGACTCCCTATGATTTCATCTCCGACCCAACCAATCAGCACTGTCGACTTCATGGCCCCTTATCTACCAAATTATCCTTAAAAAACCCCAGTCTCAGGAGGCGGAGGTTGCAGTGAGCCGTGATCGTGACATTGCACCCCAGCCTGGGCAACAGGAGCAAAATTCCGTCTCAAAAAACAAACAGCAGCAAAAAACCTGGTTTCCCAATTTTCAGGGAGACTGATTTGAGTAATATTAATAAGTCTCCAGTCTGCTGTTAATCCAACTCTATGTGAATCAAACTCTTTTTCTTTTGCAATTCCCCTGTCCTGATAAATTGGCTCTGTTTGGGCAGTGGACAAAATGAACCCGCTGGGTGTTTACACATTCATTTTAACAATACAATAATGGTTATTAACGTTTGCATTAATCCCTGCTTCCAGTGGAATAATTTTGCATCTGAAGGACCATTTGAAATGATAGGTGAATTTGGATCTGTAGCCTTTGGGAGCATCTACACTAACTCTGAAATAATATTTTTCCATACACTGGGGTAATCAGTTACAGCCAATAATCCCAAGAAATCTCAATATGAGTTCTAAGAAAAGGCAGGATGATCCTCTGCCCAGTAAAAAGATCTGCCATCTTTTATTTATTTATTTATATATTTTTTCCAAGATGGAGTCTTGCTCTGTCGCCCAGCTGGAGTGCAGGGGCACCATCTCGGCTTATCACAACCTCCGCCTCCCATGTTCAAGAGATTCTCCTGCCTCAGCCTCCTGAGTAGCTGCGATTACAGGCGCATGCCACCACGCCCGGTTAATTTTTGTATTTTTAGTAGAGACGGGGTTTCACCATGTTGGCCAGGCTGGTCTTGAACTCCTGACCTCAGGTGATCCACCCGCCTCGGCCTCCCAAAGTGCTGGGATTACAGGTGTGAGCCGCTGTACTCGGCCCTTATTTTTATTTTTTAGAGGAGAGGTCTCGCTCTGTTGCCCAGGCTGGAGTGCAGTGGCACGATCTCGGCTTACCGAAGCTTCGAACTCCCAGCTCAAGCGATCCTCCCTCCTCAGGCTCCCTAAACCTAACCCCAGCCTTGGGTCAGTTGGGATCACAGGCCCGCCCGACCACACCTCGCTAATATTTTTTTATTTTTGGTAGAGACAGGATTTTGCTTTGTTGCTCAAGCTAATCTCTAACTCCTGGCCTCAAATGATCCTTGTGACTTGGCCTCCGAAACTGGTGGAATTACAGGTGGGAGCCACCACACCAGTTAGGACGCACCTCTTAAAGGTACTACTGAGGTGGAGTTGGGCTTTTCCTGCAGAAGCGCTTCTGGGAAGCGCGCCCTTTACCCGCCTTCTTACTTAGGGAACTACATTACCCAGAAAACTCCGCGTCGAACGACAGCGTGGACAGGCCATGAGGGCTAAGGATAAAGGCGTTTCCTGTGTGCACGTGACAATGGGTCCGGACTTCCGGCGCCCTCTAGTGGCGGCCATTTTGATTGGCGTTGGGTTTATTTGTGGGAGCGGCTAGTCAGCGCTAGGTCGGGACTACGGTGACTGAACCCAGAAGGCGGAGAGCAGTTGTCCTCCGCTGCACGAGGCGACTCTGGAGCTCTGTGACGGTGCCCAGCGTGTCCCACTCCTGGGACAGGATAGGGACCGCCGTGCCCATATCTCCTGGCTGGTCGCCCTCTCCTCTGGACCCTGCTTAAAACCGCGTGGTTCGATGGCGGCGGCGGCCACGCTGAGGCTCTCAGCTCAGGTAATTGTGGCGCCCTCAGGTCACCTCATTGTCGTCCAAAAGCAGCGAGGTGGTAGCGCCTGCTCACGGCTCTGCAGCCCGGACGCCGGCGTCGGGACACTGAGGCGCTCGCGGGAGGGGCCCCATTTCCGACACCCGTGGGATGCGGTGGGGAGACCTACAGGTATAGGAACTGGCTCGGGCAAAGGCCTGCAGGTGAACTAAGCCGGAAGGATGGAATCTGGGGTCGACAGGTGCGTGTTGTGAGCAAATTATGAGGCAGAGCTCCTCCTGGAAGAGCAAGCAGGCTGGGGGCTATGCACTCATCATGAGGACGCTAGAAGCCATGGAGAGTTTGGAAGAAAGGAGGGATGTCTAGAGCATTGCAAGGGTAGAGATAATCAGGTTCACCATGTTTGTGTCTTTCCACAGTGTCAGGTGTTAACTGATGTTATTTGAGTCAACAAAAGCCATGAGCTAAATGGAGTTCGAAGGAGGCAATTCTCTTTAGTGATTCCGGTTCACTTGGTAGTCGGCCATGGGCACAGAGGCTTAAGACACTCAAGTCTGTCAATATAGCAAACCATACACAATAGTATACTTAACATATAAGTGTTATAGGTTAAACATTCCACAACGAACAAAGTAATGTTTAGCATCAAGAGGAAAAATATTTAGGAGCAAACGTTATGGAACCAGTTTAGAGGGAGCAAAGAAGACAAAAGGCATCCTGGTCTGGGCCAGTTGGTGGGCGACTGGCCTGCAGTCTTACAAGGAAGCATCTTTAAGGTGGCAGAGCCTTAGCAGCAGATGCTGAGTTTTTGTTATGAGTGACTGTCAGGACGGCCCTTTTGAGCTGCTGAAGGCCTAATCTTTTATAGTTACAGAATCCTCTGGGGAGAACTGATAGTGGAAGAGTTTGCTTGTTTGTGACCTTAGCTGGTTAGATGCAGTCTTTATTTTTTATTTTATTTTATTTTATTTTCTTGAGACGGAGTTTCACTCTTGTTGCCCAGGCAGGAGTGCAATGGCGCGATCTCGCCTCATCGCAATCTCCGCCCCCGGGGTTCAAACGATTCTCCTGCCACAGCCTCCGGTGTGGCTGGGATTACAGGCATGCCCCACCACACCCGGCTAATTTTTTGTATGTTTAGTAGAGACGGGTTTTCTCCATGTTGGTCAGTCTGGTCTCAAACCCCCGACCTCAGGTGATCCGCCTGCCTCGGCCTCCCAACGTGCTGGGATTACAGGCGTGTGCCACCGTGCCCAGTTTATCTTATTTATTTATTTTTTTTAATTTTTTGAGACAGAGTCTCAGTCTGTCACCCAGGCTGGAGTCCAGTGGCGTGATCTTGGCTCACTGCAACCTCCGCCTCCCGAGTTCAAGGGATTCTCCTGCTTCAGCTTCCCGAGTGTCTTATGCGTCGGTGTGAAGAGACCACCAAATGGGCTTTGTGTGAGCAATAAAGCTTTTTAATTACCTGGGTGCAGGTGGGCTGATTCCGAAAAGAGAGTCAGCAGGGAGATAAGGGTGGGGCCGTTTTATAGGTTTTGGGTAGGTAAAGGAAAATTACAGTCAAAGGGGGGTTGTTCTCTGGCGGGCAGGAGTGAGAGTCACAAGGTGCTCAGTGGGGGAGCTTTTTGAGCCAGGATAAGGAATTTCACAAGATAACGTCATTTCTTAAGGCAAGGACTGGCCATTTTCACTTCTTTTGTGGTGGAATGTCATCAGTTAAGGCGGGGCAGGGCATTTGCATTTCTTTTGTGATTCTTCAGTTAATTCAGGCCATCTGGGCGTATAGGTGCAAGTCACAGGGGATGCGAAGGCTTGGCTTGGGCTCAGAGGCCTGACACCGAGTAGCTGGGATTACAGGAATCCACCACCAAGCCCGGCTAATGTTTTGTATTTTTAGTGGAGATGGGGTTTCAGCATGTTGCCTAGGCTGGTTTTGAAGCACTAGCCTTGGCCTCCGAAAGTGCTGGGATTACCGGCGTGAGCCACTGCGCCTGACCATCTTTATTTTTTTGTTTATTAAACAAAGCATCTTACCCTTGATGGCAGAGTGCCCTGTGAAATACAAATTGTCTTTTTCTGAGATGGAGTTAGTTATGTCAAGTGTGCTCTATACAAAGGACAGGATCAAAATCCGGATTTTAAAGGTTTTCCAAAGGCCAATCAAAGGAAGAACAGAGTGGAGAGGTGATGAGCACCTTGGGGCCCTGGGAGGTTGAATCTTTGTTGTAGATCACATAGGTGGTAGAGATGACATTTTATATTGAGGCACGCAGGTCATACAAGCAGTCTGAGGTCACCTGACTCCAGCGCCAAGAAGGGGTACCTGGAGGTCTGAGCTTATCACATCTTATCAGGGATACATTCCTGTAATGTCCGCCTCTCCTCGAGGCACTGGTGGGTATAGGAGCATTTAAGGAACTCAGAAAAGGAAGTGGAGAGTGTTCCATTCCCTCCCTGGTCCTGACCCCGACCCATATGTTCTCTAGCTTATGGTGTCATGGGACTGTTTTTTATAATTTTAAAAATATTTTCTTTTCTTAAATTTTAAAATTTTCTGGGTATATAGTAGGTGTATGTATTTATGAGTTACATGAGATATTTTGATAACAGGCATGCAGTGTGTAATAATATTACTAGGGTTAATGGTGTATCCATCATCTCCAGCATTTATCCTTTGTGTTTCCAACAATCCAATTAAACTCTTTGTTATTTAAAAATGTACAATTAGGTTATTTTCACCGTAGTCACCCTGTTGTGCTACCAAATACTAGATCTTATTCTCTTTATTTTTATTTTTTTTGAGACAGTCTTACTCTGTTGCCCAGGCTGTAGTGCAGTGACATGATCTTGGCTCACTGCAACCTCTGCTGCCCAGATTCAAGCAATTCTCCTGCCTCAGCCTCCTGAGTAGCTGGGATTACAGGCACCTGCCATCAGGCCTGGCTAATTTTTGTATTTTTAGTAGAGATAGGGTTTCACCATGTTGGCCAGGCTGGTCTCGAACTCCTGACCTCAGGTGATCCACCCACCTCGGCCTCCCAAAGTGCTGGGATTACAGGTGTGAGCCACTGCGCCTGGCCAGTTGTATTTAATTGTTTTCCTCCCCTCCCCTCTTTCTTTTTTTGAGACAGAGTCCCTCTCTGTCACCCAGGCTGGAATGCAGTGCTGGGATCTTGGCTCACTGCAACCTCCGCCTCCCAGGTTCAAGCGATTCTCAAGTCTCAGCCTCCTGAGTAGCTGGGACTAAACATGTGTGCCACCATGCCTGGGTAATTTTTTGTATTTTTAGGAGAGATGCTAACCGTGTTAGCCAGGATTGTCTCCATCTGACCTCGTGATCCACTGGCTTCGTCCTCCCAAAGTGCTGGGATTACAGGTGTGAGCCACCACATCCGGCCCACATTTCCTTTATCCTTTCATTTTTTGATGAACACTTAGGTTGCTTCCAGGTCTTAGCTGCTGTGAACAGTGCTGCAGCAAGCATGGGAGTGCAGACATCTCTGTGATATACTGGATTCCTTTTGGGTTTATACCCAGCATGGGATTGCTGGATTATATGGTAGCTTAATGTTTAGTTTTTTGAGGAACCCCCAAACTGTTCTCCATAGCGGTGGTACTAATTTCCATTCCCACCAACAGTGTACGAGACTGTCCTTTTTCTTCACATCCTCACCAGCATTTGTTATTGCCTGTCTTTTGGATATAAATAAGTCATTTTAACGGGGTAAGATGATGTGCATTTTCTTATGACTAGTGATGTTGAGCACCTCTTCCTATACCTGTTTGCCATTTGTATGTCGCTGTCTTTCGTTTGTGTTTTCAAGACAGGATCTTGCTCAGTCACCCAGGCTGGAGTTCTGTAGTGTGATGATGGCTCACTGCAGGTTTGACCGCCTGGGCTCAGGCGATCCTCCTATCTCAGCCTCCCAAGTGGCAGGGACAACAGCCATGTGCTACCTTGCCTTGGCTAGTTTTTAAACTTTTTTGTAGAGATGGGGGTCTCACTGGTTAAACAGGGTGGTTACCAACTGCTAGGCTCAAGCGATCTTCCTGCCTCAGTCTCCCAAACTGCTATGATTATAGCTGGGAGCCACTGCTCCTGGCTGTATATCTTTTTTTTTTTTTTTTTAGAGACTGGAGTCTTGGCTCTGCTTGCCAGGCTGAGAGTGCAGATGGCCAGATCTCAGCTCACTGCAAGCCGCCTCCCGGGTTCACGCCATTCCCTGCCCCTCCCGAGTAGCTGGGAGTACAGGCGCCCGCCACCTCGCCCGGCTAATTTTTTTTGTATTTTAGTAGAGACGGGGTTTCACTGTGTTAGCCAGCATGGTCTCGATCTTCTGACCTCGTGATCCGCCCGTCTCGGCCTCCCAAAGTGCTGGGATTACAGGCTTGAGCCACCGCGCCCGGCCGGCTGTATATCTTCTTTTCAGAAATGTCTATTCAGATTTTTAAATGGAATTATTAAGAGTTTTTCCTATAGAGTTGTTTGAAGTCTTTACATATTCTGGTAATTAATCCCTTTGCAGATGGGGGGTTTGCCAGCTGATTTTTCTCCCATTCTATGGGTTATCTCTTCACTTTGTTGATTGTTTTCTTTGGCTGTGCAGAAGCTTTTTAGCTTGTCTGATAGCCAGTCCATTTTTGCTTTGGTGCCTGTTGCTTGAAAGGTATTTACTCAAGAAGTCTTTGTCGGCCAGGCTCAGTGACTCACACTGTAATCCCAGCACTTTGGGAGGCCAAGGTGGGGCGGATCACCTGAGGTCGGCCCCCCCCCCCCCCCCTCCCCCCCCTGGGATTTGACACCAGCATGGGCAACATGGGAACCCCGCCTCTACTAAAAAATACAAAAATTTAGCTGGGTGTGATGGTAGTGCCTGTAATCTCAGCTATCAGAGGCTGAGGCGGCGAGACTCGGTTGAAACCTGGGAGGTGGAGGTTGCAGTCGAGCCCAGATTCTGCCATCAGCACTGCAGCCTGTGCGACAGAGCGAGACTTCATCTCAAAA